ACAATTTTATAGGTGTATTTATAATCGAAGTGATGATGATTGTCATTACTTTAAATGGTTTGATGAAGAGGAAGAGCCATGCTATGTCATATGTTACGAATTTAATGCCTTCGACAGAAAGACTTCTAAGAAGCTTGACAGGATTCTTCTGATGATTAAAGTTTTTGTTGCGGTTGTTCTTATCGACGTTAACATTCAACTTTATTTTGGCTAGAATTATGTTGTATTCAAGTTGAATGTATGAATGGTTTTAGAGGATAGTAGGTGTTGCATTAGTACTTTATTATGTATTTGTCGAAGGTTAATAGTTCATGCTTTGCTATGACTTGAGCTAGCCTTTTGTATTAGTATTTTGTATCTTCAAAGTTTTTTGTTGGAATGAAAAAAGTATAAGTTTTTTGTTGGAATGAAGTATTGATGTGTCTTCTTCTGTACTTATAGTTTTTGTTGGAATGAAAAAAAGTATAGTTGTTGATATGGCTTTGCTATGACAGGATTCTTCTGTACTTATAGTTTTTGTTGGAATGAAACTTAAACAGCAACCTGTATAATCCTCATTGAGAGAATTCACTTAAACAGCAACCTGTATAATCCTCATTGAGAGAATGATACTAAAACAGCAACTTGTATAATCCTCATTGTTGAAATGTAACAGAAAATTTTGCAGTTATTTTTTGAACTGAAATTCTTGGAACCGAACTTCCTGGAATCGAATTCACTGGAACCGAACTTCCTAGAACCGAATTCACTGGAACCGAACTTCCTGGAACGAAAATTCTGGAACCAAACTTCCTGGAACGAAAATTCACTGGAACCTGGATTGATGGTTTTGCATCCGCATATAAAGAACTTATGTTATTCAGTGTAAACAAAGCTTCTATTTCATATGGTTTTGCATAAACTAGAAACAACATAAGTCAAGGTTGTTGTTTAAGTTTTGCATAAACTGGAAGCAAAAGAAGTCAAGCTTGCTGTTTAAGTTTTGCATAAACTGGAAGCATATGGATTTGCATAAACTGGAAGCAAAGCTTCTATTTAATATTGAAAGCAAACACAAAAAAGTTTACACGGAAATTCAAAGCTTCTATTTCATATTAAAAGCAAAGCTTCTATTTCATTTAGAAGATCACAAAAATCTTACTCATAACATTTGTCCCAAAAGAAGTCAAACCCCAAAAAAGTAATCCAAAATAATCTTGAACATTTACTTAAAAACCTTCAATATTATAATACTCGTACTCATCTCCCAACTCCTCTACAGCCCTTCTACTTTGCAACTTTGGACGCTTTGGTTGTCTTAATTGTGTGATAATTTGTCATTGACCTCCATATTCTTCTGTAATGGGTTCTTACATGTACTTCGATGATGACCCCAAAGATTACACCTACTGCATGTATGTACTTTCTTGTCCTTTTCCAGAAAATTAGGCAATCTTCTTCTTTTGGGTCTTCCTTTAGGTCTTGATATATTTGGCGCTCCAATCTCAACAGCATCGTGAATCACTTGCCATTGGTCCTTCCCAGGTAACATGCCAATCGCTCCATCGTACGCCATCCTGTATCTAAATATCTTGAAATTAGTGTAGCAAGTGTGAAGTGGAAATTGAAATAATCAAATGTAAGAGTTACCGGTGCACGTAGAAGTATTTATGAATGTATGTATGCCATAGTGGAAGCTCCTTCATCCCAATGAAAGCAATGACATGAATGCAAGGAAGTCCTATTAATTGCCATACTTTGCATGTACAGTCTCTATTCTCAACGTCAACAATATGTCTTGAATGTAACGATTCAACCTCAGCTTTGAAAGTAGTAGATTGGAGAACTATTAAATGTTCTTTTCTTGTAGTAATGTCTCTTATATATTCTTCAGCATAAGGAACTATTTCACATTGCCAACTCCAACTTGTCATTTTACGTGTAGCCCTTTGTTCCATGAGTTTACCACGAATCATGTCAATTAAGTCAACAACAAGTTTATTTCTAGCCTCCATTATCCAAGCATTGAATGATTCAGCAAAGTTATTGGTATTTGTACTGTGGTATATCCCATACATAAACTGACTTCGTGACCACTTGTAAGGTAATGAGATAAGGTACGCATAGACGGTGGGGTATGATACACTTAATTCAGCGAGCTTGTCATTGTACTATGTCGTTGTGTACGCATTAGATGCTCCCCAAACCAAACCTTGCAGTTTATGCCCATCTTTACAATGAATTTTTTTTTTAAATATTCTTCCATAACTGACGAATACAAATTCTATGCTTAGCTACAGGGTACACATCTTTAATAGCCTCGCCCAAGCCCTTCTCCATATCTGAAATGAATGCAAGAGGTTCTATGTGTACTTTCTCCCAAGTTATGAAGGAACCAAAACCATGTCTGCTTGGATTCAGTTTCAACGACAGCAAAGGCTAAAGGAAATAAACCGTTATTACCATCAAGTGAGGTTGCTGATAAAAGCATTCCTAAGTGCTTGGATTTGAGGTGGCATGCATCCAAACTGATTAGAGGCCTGCAACCATACATGAATCCATATGTACACACCTTAAAACTTACATAAAATCTCTGAAATGAATTGTCATGTTGGTCAAACATATATGTGATATGTGAACCAGGATTTCTACCAATCAATTCGACATGTAGTGAAGGCACCCATTTATAATTATCATCAACAGAGCCAAATATACTTTCACGAGCTTGCTCCCTAGACATTCACAGGTTCATGTAAGGTAATGAAAGACCATACTCTTTCTCTAAATTGCTATTGATATCTTTTGGAGGAACGTCAGGATTCCTTTTGACCATCTCTTGAATCTCTTTGGCAACCCATGCAGATGTGGCTAGTCTATTCCCAACACGGTTGATGCCTGGACACGTGTGAACACCATCAATTCTTCTAACTTCAAAAGTTTGAGCATCTTCACATAGGGAAGCTCTAATTCTCCGTTGGCAACTTTGATAAGAACATGTAGCAATAACACGTTTCTTATCACAAGCCTTAATCCTAATACCAAAATTCTCCTTGATGCAACTGATCGCAAAGTATGCTTGAAAGATATTGCATAAGGAAAATATGTGCCAACAGCTATATCTTTATAACATAGACTTGAAACACTCGAAATACAATCATTATAGTCAAAAGAACTTTCAACCATCTTAGAATTTACAAACTCCCTTAGATTGGACATAGATTCATGTACTGTAATAACTATCTCAGCACACAAATTATCATTAGATACTTTTATGAACTCAGACGCCTCAACGTCAGAATTTAGATCGTTGTATTCTTTAGGTGATGTTCCATATATGTAATAATGCATATTATATGGATGTCCCTTGAGCCAAGGACATATTCGGACAATCTCGGCTCTAACTGCAAAAATCGTGAGTTGTCCTTTCTCAAATTTTACAGTCCTTTATTTTCCACCATCGTACCTCTTTCTATGTTGGTCATTAGTTTGAACCCATATTCCTCCATACTTAAATACAACAGAAATATACTCTTTCTTCTCTCCATATATATTATTTCCAACATTGTTACATAAGCCTACATTATCAATGATGAAAACGTTATTTACATTTTTTTAATGTGTTTCAAATGAATCAATTAATACTCACGAAGTAAGTCGTCTGGGAACACATCATGAATAACTGCTTCGACAATGATAAACTTATGTTACTGCAACTTTGACTGAAGTATCAATGACAAAATACATAATAAAATTCAATGACAAAAATAAACTTCTTTTACTGTGAAACAAACACAAACTATTTTAGAATGAAAAAAAGGACGTTCTCATAATACAAACGGGCATGGCTTAATCCACTGCCAAGCTTAATAGCCGGTATACATTAATCTTACTGCTAAACGAGGAACGCCGGAAGCTTAAAGCGGTAAAAAAATAGAACGTCAGAGGGAAATGTTCGCCTGGCGACAAGCTTCTTTTCGGCAAAGAACCGAGGGAAATGTTCATGAGAAGTAGAACCTGCAGTTCGCCAGGATTGGGGAGCGTATGACGGAAAGAAGTTCAGGACAAGCCTGGCGCGAAGAGCTAATTTCGGCGGGAATTAGACATCCTAATGTATGCGGTAGACGGCGCGGTAGACGGAGTGGTACAATTGAGATAAAGTAGGGATTTGAGTGGTATAAGTGTATTATTTAAAAATGAGGTGTTAGATATGTAAAATACTAAGTATATAGTGGTATGTATGTAAATTTCCCTAAATATTTTGGCTGACATAATATCACCTTTTACCTACTAAGTAAGAAAAATAAAAATTGAGTGTGTTATTGAGATAAAGTAGGGATTTGAGTGGTATAAGTGTATTATTTAAAAATGAGGTGTTAGATATGTAAAATACTAAGTATATAGTGGTATGTATGTAAATTTCCCAAAAATTAATAAATTTAAAATATATGTTATTTTACATCTTAATATTATAATATAAAAATTTTTATATAAAGATTCCAATAAAAAGTGATCTATTTTATTTGGATTAATTATTCTAATTATGACCAATTTATCATAATAATACAAAAAAATATTACTATTACCTGTTGGAAAATTTAAATCAGTTGAGTGTATGTGTTTCACGTCTTAGCATTGTATAAAAATTTAGCATGTAATAAAAGTTATAAGATTAGACATTTTTATGTGAAAATTCAAAAAAAGAAAAAAAAAATCACGAGGTTTGTCCCTTTTTGGAGTGAACATTATGGTAATTTGAACCGTAATACAAAACATTGAATCTTACAGTCTATATCGATTTCTTGATCATTAAACGTTCGTTTAGTATTTAAGTGCCTTAATGATATTAAAATTCAGCGATCTTGAGTTCGTTAGATTCGTCTAATCGAGCCACTCAATTTGACTATAAGCATGTCAAATTTATAGATCATTTGACCTTCCAATTAATGTATGAAGTTTTCGATAGATTTTCAAGTGCTTGATTTTAGACTTATTTAGGCTCATATTGAATCACTTTTAGCTTTTTTTAGAACATCTTATTGAGATATTTAGTTCATGTTCAATGCAACTATAAATTTGTTAAAATTAAAGTTTAGATGATCCTAATTTTAATTTCAAAAATTTTTAATTCAAATATTTCTTAAGAAATTGTGTCTCATGTGGATTTTTTTTAACTACCAATTACAAATTAGTGCAAACTCAGTATTAGACGCGCCATCTTTGCAACCTTACAATGTGAACAAACATTAGCGTACTTACTCAGAATGGGCCCAATCTCCTGTGGAAATTGAATGAAGGGATAATAACAGCTGCATCCAACATAAATATTTAAATTAAATTAAATTAAATTAAATTAATATATCTTCGATGGCATTCTTGACATTTATTCAAAAAAGTGGACTAGTATTTGTTTTGTAAATTGCAAGAGAAGCGTGTTGCACTCTTTCGCATGAGTAGCTATTTCCAGTTCCCACCCATTGTAGCTTTGCTTTGAAGCTTGAAACGGCGGGGGAGGCTCAAATGCGTCTGATCTCATTCTCTTCTTGCTTACTGGTCGTTTTCCATATGTGTCTGTAGATCCCAACTCCATTCTTTATACCCTTCTTGCCGGGGGAGAGCTGTAATGTCATGCTCTCCTGAAGAAAGGGGCTGCAGTTGATAGCTTGGCTTTGGAGGCCTTATCTCAGGCCCGCCGCTTCCTCTTCGCCGCTTTTTATGTCACGATCGGGGTGGAAAGATCGAAATGTGGCTCATTTGTGATCCATTTTTAGGTCGCCTTCCAGATCTGTGGTGCAAGAACATTTCTTGACACGCAATAAGGTAGTTTAGACTTTAGAGTGGATGATTTGTTGTTAGGTTTAGGTTAAGGGTGTACTATTCTCGTGTTTAGTTTTTTGGCGGGTTCCTGTCGGTTTACTCCGAGGTCGTGTGCGGAATGGATCGAAGTTTTAGGGCACCGGAGCTGAGGGGAAGGACCCTGGGATCAGTGATGAAGGATAAGGAAGAGGATCTTGCCCTCTTCATCGAGATGAGGAAGCGCGACAAGGAGCGGAACAACCTTCTGCTCCAGAACTCTGATGAAGTTGATCAACCGTTAGGTAAGGCCTCTATCTTGCACTTTGAAGCATTTGTGTTCATGTATTAGTTCCTCTTAGCACTGGTGGATAATTGAGCCAAGCTTCGTCCTAAGTTTATTTCTGATTTTGCTGATAATCGTTCTGGTTTGTAGAGTCACATCTTGGGGGGTCTCCTTTATTCAAGATTGCGCCTTCAACTGTGAGAAAGACAGGCATGGATGATTTTCTGAACTCCGACAATGAGAAGAACGATTATGACTGGTGATTCAATTAAATGGTCTTAATTAAGTTATTATTTATTTTCGGTGCACTCTATTTCTTTTTATGAGTAAAAGAGGTAGTTTAGGTTTTCAATCCAAATTGCTTCTTCTAGGTTCATGCCATTGCCAGCTTAGGCAGTAAGCTTTACTCCATATTTGGTTTTGTATGTTGTTAATTCCCTGCTACTCATCGGTGTTGGCTGATTGTTTTAAATGTTTTCTTTAGTTTGACTAGTATATTTCAGTTTCTTTTCTCAAGCTTTGGCTTTGTTCAAGAGTCTTTGACGGTGCAAGTTGTGACAATATTTTTTCTTATGTCATGCCTTCTATTAATTTTCCTAGAAGTTTCTTACTCCCACTGTTATTGTACACCTGTTTCTTTAAACAAAACTTCAGAAGGAAGAAAATAAAAGAAGCTTTGTAAGACTTTGGTAATGTAATACAAGTATGAATTATCCAGTAAATGTATTTATAAAGATCTTACGTGTTATGATGGCTTAATTGTTGTTAGAATTTGATGGGAATGCTGAATCTTTGTTCTTTGAAATACATTGTTCCTTTAGCAATGAAATATAACGTTCGCCGATGTACTTTGCTTCTGTAAGTTTGTTTTGATGTAAGAATATGATAAGAATTTATTAGTAATTTTAGAGTTATTTATTCCATTTCGATACATTTTAGCTCTGAAATATCGATATGATTAGACTAGTTTGTAGACTACTTAGTTGTATCCATTTTAGTCCCAGGCTTTTCCTTGTGTCCAATTTCGTCCCTCAATTTATCAATAGTGGTGATAGATCCGCCCAAACAATGCCCCTCAATTTATCAATAGTGGTGAGAGATCCGCCCAAACAATATCCACACAAGCTTAAAATCAATAGCGACCTCAATATTTGCTTGTTGCAACCAATTTTTTCCAATCTACATGGTTGACGTGACAGAAGGGCCAAATAAGTTAGGCCTTGATGAATTGAGGTTTAACTTGGATACTAAAATAAGTGTGGTTCTAAAATGGATACGTCTAAATAGTCTAGGGGTCACTTTGATCATGTATTCTTTCAATACTACATTTTGCAAGTTTTTGATGAATTTAGCAGAACATAATTGGTTGTTACATTTCATGTATTAATTGAAGCTTGTTGACATTTCTTTTCAGGCTTCTCACACCACCGGGTACCCCACTTTTTCCATATTTGGAAAAGGAGTCTCACAGATCTCCAATAAAGCATCTTCCTACTCCAAAAGGTCACCCTGTTTTTTTGAAATCTAGAGTAAGTTATCAAATCTTTTGGAAAGCTTATTTAATGGTTCTTATTAACATTTCTTTGTGACCAATTGTGATGTAGATACTTGCAAAATTATCTAAGGTGCTAGCTTTTTTAGATGGCTTGTTTTAATGGCCTTAGATCACATAATGAATCTATTGTTCCCTAGTCCTTTGTACTCAAATAAGGGAATGCATTGATATAAATGTTGTTAAAGGTGAGCTGGATACTCTTCTTGAATGTGGATGAGGTGAGATGAGTTCATGAGGCCATATCACTTCTCACATTTCTCAGATAGTTGCCATTATGAAGGCTTACCTAGGTGATTACTTTGCCTTGAAATGCCATGCATTGAAGCGGGGTGCCTTACCTTGACGTGATTGATTAGTGCTAATACTTCAATTGTTTAAAGTGAGTTAGTTTTTTATGATGATAACTTGATATGAGATAACATATGAATAGTATCGAGAGTTTGGAGGAACAATATGCACCCTTAGAAATAAGTAAATTAAATGCAGGTAAAAGAATTTAAGTGTTATAATAATATATTTCAAAGATGAAGATGATTTTAAGTAAACAAAATAAACGGTCTAGGGATATAAATTTAGTGGTAGAGAAGAGAGCATGCATAATAAGAAGATGAAACTAATAATAGCGAAATTTAGATTATCAATAGCTCTAATTATAAACTTAAGTAGTTTTTTTTACTTGTTTAAAATAATCTGTTTAGTACATTTTTTGAAATTAGAATGTAATGAAATTTGAAAGTTTATAATTTTTCATTGTATAGTTTTATCCAACATAATTTAGTATTTATCATTATACATTCTTCAACAATATTTGTCATTATTAAGCCAATTATAGGCATGGTATAACTATTTCTTCTGTAATGCCCTGCTTTTGTTTGGCAATCAGCTATAGTAGCATCTAGTTTCTTAGGATTTGGGAAGTCATATCCTATTTGATATCTATGACAATGGTTGTATGCAACCTTACCCTTTTATTTTAACGGAAGCTATTTCCATGATTTGTACGCATAACCTTCATATCACAACAGAAAAATATTAATCCATGCTCCAATCAAGGGTGGAACCAGGAAGAGTTCAGAGTGGGCAATTGCCCACCCTAAAATCTTTTTCTTTCTAAAAAAAAATAAATATTTTAATTATTTTGCTCACCTTTAATAAATGCAGTTGCATAAATTTTAAGGAAAAAATTATTTTCAATTTCATACATAAGATTATACTTTGCACAATCCTATTTTGTTCATTCTCAAATGAGAGGTTGTTTCGCCCCTGGTTCCAAGTTGTAGGATCTATTTCTTAGAGGGAAGGGGTTCTTCCTCTTGACCTTCTTAAGAGAGAGGAGAGAGAGGGAAGAGGAGAGGGAGAGATGGCTGAAATCTGAAAAGGATTTCTATATTGCTTGGCTTTTGACTTAATTTCTCTTTTCTATTACTGTCAAGCCTTGTTTAAAGACTTTTAATGACAACACAAAAAGCTGCACAAAAAACAAAATAGAAAATATAAATGGCTACAAACGAACCTAACTAAAAGAAAGTGCAATGTAGTAAATATTGAATCAATCACAACAAACTCCACATTGGTCTTAGATTTACAAAACATCTATGTCTTCATCTGCTACCTCGACTATGGTTTCCTTTGTCGCACTGCCTCTGATGTAGCAACCCACGCACCATGTGCATCCCGCTCGCACGCTCTGCGAGCTATCGTGCCTGCTGCTTGCCTTCTGCTTGGAACACCTGCACGCTCAACTGCACCCCCGCATTGCCCTGTGTACCCTGTGCCAGCGCAACCCCCCACGCCTTGCGCTTGCCCGCGCACCGCCGGTCCCTGAGGCCTTGCGAGCTCCACCGCACACCTTTGCCCGTATGATCCCCACACACCGTAACCCCGCGCGCCCTGTGACTTCGTACATCTGCGAGCACATGGGCATGCGCATGCCTTGTGCCCACGCACGCCTCTTTGCGTGCCTCTACCTCTGCACACCTTCACGCGCGACTCTGCTCATGCCCGAGCCTCCACCCACTTTTCTTCCGTGCGTATGCGCCTCTACGGCATATGCGCCTAGCGCATCCGTGCGTCAGCTCGCACGCCTATATTGTGAAGCATAGTCCGGCTCCGGTCGATCTCCGCTTTTCTTTCTTTCTGAGTCAATATTTTTGGACAAGAAAATCTCCTCCACCTCTAATTTGCTCTGATTTCACTTATAAGTTTTATTTCTTAGAGTGGAAGGAGTTCTTCCTCTTGAGCTTCTTAAGAGCTGAACTTAAGAGAGAGGAGAGAGAGAAGAGGAGAGGAAAAGATGGCTGAAATATGAAAAGGATTTCTGTATTGCTTGGCTTTTGGCTTAATTTCTCTTTTCTATTATAGTCAAGCTTTATTTAAAGACTTCTAATGGTAGCACAAGAAATAAAACAGGAAATATAAGTGGCTACAAACGAACCTAACTAAAAGAAATGATGTGGAACATCATAATTAAAGTCTACCTTAGGAATATCTTATCTAGTTTGTTACAAGTTGTTGCCTATTTTCTAGAATCTTCTAGGTGACTCTAGGTTCTTACTTGCTTTTATATATATATTGTAAAAGAGGAATGGGGGGATGATGAATATTATATGAATTGAAGCTTAGTGCTTGGTTTTCTCTCTTGTTCTTGAAAAATCCTTCAAGCATCCTCTTCTTCCAACGATCCAACGACGATTCACCACATCAAGAAATAGCCAATCTCAACACAAGTCCACCAATTATTTGAAACAAATATTGCCATGTCATTGTTATCATGTTAAATTGTATCTTTGTATCTATTGAAAACTGGTTTTGTAGTTTCTTTTATTACATTTCATAGAAGCTATGACAATTTGTATTATTTGTAATCATATTCGAGTGATTAATATCAATCTGATGTCTTTCATTTGGGAATTCCCATGAATTTTTCCATGGGTTTTTAAACTCATTCAATCTATATATCACACTTGCAGTTAGCAAATCCTCCGGATCCTTCTTTAAGATGCACTACAGCTTCTACGCAACTGATGACCTCTTCCGGTTTGAACTCCTCCCTTTTGGGAATGAGAAGGCCTTTGTCATCTGGAGGGTCTAGTGTTACTTCTTCTAGGCCTTCAACCCCTAATGGTCGGCCTTCGTTGCCTACAGCATCCAAACCATCCAGATCTTCAACTCCTACTTCCCGTTCTACAGTACCCTCAAGATCAGCAGCCCCGCCACCTAGATCATCATCACCTGCTAGGTCTTCTACCCCAGCATCAAGATCATCCATACCACCAGCCAGCAAGCCTGTATGTAGGTCAACTACCCCAACAAGAAGGCCTTCTACCCCATCTAACTTGCCTGCTAGTACTGCCCCGCCAGGTCGGTCTTCATCTGCCACTAGATCAGGCCCTGCAACTAGTTCTGTAATGAGGTCAAGTTCCTCGACAACTACTACAAAATCTGGACCAGCAATTTCTATGACTAGGTCAGGCCCCGCAGCTTCTAAAGGTGTGGCTCCATCTCGTGGAGTTTCTCCAACTGTAAGATCTAGACCTTGGAAACCTTCTGAAATGCCTGGTTTTTCACTTGATGCACCTCCAAATTTGAGAACTTCACTACCTGAGAGACCATCTTCTGCTTCTCGAGGCAGGCCAGGAGCGCCCAGCTCCAGGTCGTCATCGGTGGAAAGTCGACCAAGTATGAGGCCCAGACTACAATCTTGCTCTCCTTCTAGAGGAAGGGCTCCTAATGGAAATGTTGCTGGTGGTGGTTCCATTCCTGCAGTAAACAGGTCACGTATGAACAACAATGACCATGAAAGTCCAGTTGTCATAGGTACTAAGATGGTTGAGCGAGTGGTAAGCTTGAGAAGACTGGCACCTCCAAAGATTGACGAGCAGCATTCCACCATTAATTCATTGGGGAAATCCACTGTGTCACCAGAAAGCGTTGGATTTGGGAGAACACTATCTAAAAAATCGCTCGACATGGCTCTGAGACATATGGTAATGCAGTTCTCGTTATTTATTCTTAGAATAAGTTGAACTTGACAGCTACATTGATTAAGGCTCCGTTTGGGATGGCTTTTTTATCGTTTCTTAAAGGTGCTTTCTAATAAAAAATTAATTTTTTTGTACTAAAAAGTTGTTTTAAGAAGCAGTAAGAAAGCCGTCTCAAACGAAACCTAACTTACAAATTAGTATTCGAAGTACTTTTTTTCCGTAATTTTTTTTTTTATTTGGGCTTCTTTTGCATTCTGAATAGGATATAAGGAGGAGCATGCCTAATAATCTGCGACCATTGATGACTAACATACCAGCATCCTCTATGTATAGTGTGAGGTCAGGGTCTTCAAGAAGCCGAGTAGTTAGTATTTCAGGTTCTCCTCTTGCCACCAGTAGCAATGCAAGCTCCGAGCAGAGTGTCAGTAACAATCCATTCTGTTCGGATGGAAATGAACTTTTAGATGAGTTTTGCAGTGATAAAGGCAGTAAGTCCTCTCCTTCATTTTCAATGGGAAGATGATCACCAGATTTTGCTCTTGTTTTCCATTTTGTGTATTCTTGAAAGATTATTTCCTTTATGCATCATCAATACCACAGCGCAAGCTGCATTGGCAGCAGCATTGCTGGGTATGCCTACTATCTTGTAACCCTTAAATATCGATTCTGATTCTGCCTTGTTTATGTGGTATTATTTTCAAGGGATATTGTTATTGATGCATGTGAAAGATTAGAACATACTATTACAGAAATTATGAAGTGCTGCTGTCTTCGGTGGTGCTCCTCTTACGGAGGGGGTCTGTATCATGGTACATATAATGTCTCTGATAAAATTTTATGAAGCTTTTGGCTTCAGTAGCCATCAGTGTTTGGCTGTTGTGCTACTTTATTTCCTAAGAAATGAAGCCATTAAAACTCTGAGCAATCGTAGAGATGAACAAAGTAGTTTGTTTTCTATCATTGTAGAGTATTGCAGTGCAGATGCAACATAGTGCTATCAGGCATTCGAGGAATTATTCTGTGTTGAGACCAAACGGTGAGAACCGTTCGAATTTGCTGCGCTTTAACTGTCCTTTTGTTGTGCTTTTGCAAATACTCAGCTAAAATGTAGCAAATCCGGATAGTTCTCAACGCAGTAAATTTGGACGGTTCTCGCGGTCGGGTGTCTGCACAAAATAATTTCTAGTGGCATTCAGTTGAAAAGCATTACCAAGCTATCCGACTCATATTTTCATTTTTTTAAGGCAAAAGACACTTTTTTTCCTTTTTTAGTAAGGTGTTTACCGGTCGGTCAACAAGGCCTTTAATTGCTGCATGATAGGTGTCCGAAAGCCATTGAAGCTTTTGATCAATTGTGATATTTATTGCATATGCTGCCAGATGGCTATGTTCTTATCATCAGTTGTAGTTGGATGAGGACTACCCTTTAATTTGTTTGCTAAGTGGTCCCTGTGACATGATTGAGCAGCCGTTCTCTGTTCAGAATCATACATTCATTGTCTGACGCATTTCTGGAATCCAATCAGGTTGAAATAAACTGTCATTCGATTCTTTCTCATCACAGCCTTACAGCTTTTGCTGTTAGTTCCCTTACCTACAGGAATCACAAGTTGATGAGGCCAGATAGAACAATGACGTGTAGGAAATAGCATTTGATATGGCCCATTGCCATTTTCTAGTGTGGGCACCGGACATAGAGATGCGTCCGGATCATTGGATGCATTGCGTACGCTCTGTGTATGTTCTGTTTCTACTCTGCTTATGTTTTGTTTATAATATGCTTACATTCTGCGTATTTATAGATACACAATAAATAAGCAGCAAATCCTCGCAACTAAATATTTGCTGTTTATTTACTGCAAATACGCGGAGCGTAAGTAGAGTTTAAGCATAAAATACACAGTATCCGGACACATCTCTAGGTCCGATATCCACATCTAATAATTTCTCATTCTCTAGTGGAAAGATTCCTCATGCATGTACTGTGCTAGTAAATTGCAGGGTTCAACTAACCTGGAACAAGGTTAGATCATCTAGTTTTATTCCGAGTTTTTGGATCAATGAATTGAGCTATTTGTCTATTTAGTCATCCTATTAGTTTCTTAAGTTCGTTGATGTTAAACGTTTCTGCATTTACGAGGCGTAATTTTCGGGATTTTTAGCACTGAGGCCGTCAACTGTTGGATCATGAAAACAATAGCAGTAATAAATTTTTAGTACAAAGTAATAAATTTGATTATCAATAAAGTAATATTTTTTAGTACAAAGTTTGAAATTTATGTTTAATTTATATCAATTAATTATATTAACTTTTTTTGATAATTTGATTGATAATTTTAAATTGAAAATAATATAGTAAATGTTATATTAAGATTAATTTATTAATAAGTTGAAGCTGTGTTTTTTACTTTTTTTTTAATAGGAAAAATTTAAGAGCAAATTTTTAAACTAGACCTAATATTAAATTAGTTTATTTAATTTAGCATTTAAAAAAAAAAATTAAGAGTAGCCAAAGTTACCCATTTAACTATGTGGGAAGGGTTGTACAGGAAAGAGTTAATTTAGCTATTTATATAAGTTTGTCCAAATGGTCATTAATATGATCATTTTGGTAGAAATTTTTGCAGTATCTTATCACATTAGCTGAGGTTTTTTTTTTATCACATTAGCTGAGTTGCAGAGTCCTATCACATTAGGTTTTTTGCTTTTATTAGTATTGTGTGTAGTTAGTGCTATACACATTAGAGTCTCTTTAGTCATTGGATGCTGAAGTACTTGTGACAGACATTATTTAAAAAACTTGAGTTGAGCTGAGAAGTTGCGTTGTTCCATCAATAAATTATATGTCATCTTTATTATTTTTGTTATTATATACATTCCTTTGTTCTAAGTTATTTCATTATTTTGGTTATAAATATATTGTGTAAAGCCATCCCTAAGAGCTGCAATGAAGCTAGTGAAGAATATATGTTGAAGTTGCTTTGATCAGGTGGTTTCAATGCATTATTTAAGATTCGAAATTTGATTTTTTTTGGCAATAAATTGGCCAATTATGTAGAAAATTAGGGACATTGCAACTAAAGATTTATATGAGAATAGAAGCTTACGATTGCACCAACATATTAGAAGAAGTCCGGATAGTCCTTTTGAGATGAAGGCTAGGGAAAATTAAATATTTAGATGTTGCATGCATGAGTGAATAGAAGATCATGATTATATGCTTATGAGCATGCATGAAGACTTGATGAAAATAAATGTGTATAGAAGTGGTAGTTTCTTTAATAGTCAAGATTGGATAAATTTAGAGAGTACTTTCTACATGTATAATCGTCATTTTGTCGGTCAACACGTCCTCCAAATTTGTTATCATCAACTACGACGTGAAGGAATAGGTGCTTCTGTTAATCAACTCGAAACATCAGTGGATCACATCATTCTTTTCCATTCTTAGTTGTCACGAGAGGAAGTATTTATTGTTCATATTTATAAATCAGAAGATGAGAATTCTTAATAGAGGCACAAGGAAAATTTTATTTAATGCAACTGACTGGCTAGATATGCAGCCTGAGTTCAAGTTTCATTTTAAATGTCCTATGTAAGGCCAACTTCAAGCAAGTATACACATGTTTATTAAGTGAGAATTTAATTTTATATTGTAAGTTTGATAACTCTTAGGGCTTGTGTTATCGTTTTGTATTTTTATAATGTTCATTTAAGTGGCGCATGGTGCTTCTTGTTCAGTATATGTTAAAGTTGTGTTATTTATGTCTTGTTGTCTTATGTAGGTTGTTCAGTATATCTCAAAGTTGTGTTATGTATATCTTTTTGCTTATTTTTTATTTAGATGTTAACATCAAGCTCAAGTAATACCTATTTGAAAATATCTTTACAAATTTTATTTATTTTAAATAACAAATATAGGGAAAAAACCAAATATTTCTAACTAAATGAAATATGATTTAATTCATTGCATGAAATTAGGAAAGTCTGAATAATATAACAACTGAAATATTTAACACAAATCATACTGCAAAAGCATTAGAATAGGGTAGAAGCTAGAGCTTGCATCTAGCCTTGCATGATATGACATGCATCTATGCCTGGTGTATAATGATTTAGCGGTCAAACATGAATATCTCGAAATCCACAATACTCCTCAGGCTGGACTTCCTCACCATAATCAACTAGCTGTGCCTCCATGTGGGTGGCGGGGTGTAGAACTGGGAAATAGAACCAATATCAAATGGACCCCAATGCATCTCATATGTTGGGTTAATGTCTCTTACGCCTCTCCCCAATCTCCATAAGTGGGTGTAGCAACACCCATTTCTGAAGGACCGGCGTGAGGTTCTTCCACCGTTTGGAGAAAAGTGTACCCTTTCCTGGAGTCTAAACAGTATCATGCATCCTCTAAGTTTATTTGTGTTTTCATAGCATTATTCAATTCTCCAATCATGTTAACATTTTGTTTGAGTTCAGATCATCATCCTGGCTATAAAATTGTTGTAACATCTCGTCTGTCTCAAAGAGGTGGTTCTGTTGTATGTAATTAAGTAAACAAATTAGAATAATTATGTAAATCTTTTAACATAAGAAACTATGAGTGGAAAATATACCAGCTAGGGGTAAATTGAGTCAAGCCGACTCATGAGCTGGCTCAGGCATGACTCGTTAATGAACTCGTGAGTCAAGCTCGAGCATAATTTCAAGCTTATTGTATAATAGAGCTCATGTTCGATCTAGCCAAATATCGACTCGAATACTCATAAGTCGGCTCAGATGCCTAGTAGGAAGGTGAAATGTCAAGCAAGATTCAGGAAGGCGGGAATGCAAAATGTCGGGTTGGAACGTGAAATGTCGAATGAAGTTCAGATGTGAGATGGATTTTGGACACGGGCATGCTTGGACGGAGTTTGGACTTTGGACTCAGGATAGAGGTCGGACGGGGGATGTGCTGGGATGTGGGCATGCACGAAGGGAGTTTAGACTTCGGATGCAGGATAGAGGTCGGATGTGGGACAGAGCTTGGATACGGGAGTGCTGGGACATGGAAGCGGACGTGACGGAGCTCGAATGAGCTGCTCTACGAGCTTGTTTCAGTAGCACAAGCTAAGATCCATATTGTCTTAAGTTTGAGCTTGAGTTCCAACGGGCATCTCGCTAACCCATTCTTCATTCCATATGTTAAAACGTACATTATAGTTAGTGTAAATATAGTAGTAGGTTTGATGATAAGGTTTAAAATATATGATAAGTACCCTCCCACACTACAATCATGTACTAGTTCTGGATATGGTACATGCAATGTAGGACTTCCAACATGGATTGATCCTAAGACCTAATTTGTAGCAAATGAAGACATATGGTAATGTTAGCCCGCATGGGCTTGGTTGCCTATGTCAATTCTCTGTATAAGTGTGTTATAACAACTCCACCGAGCGAGAAAGTGCTGAATAATTAAATGTCCTTAAGAAGCGGGAGATATTAAAGATAAATTTCATATCTAGATATATATAATAGTAACAAATATCCAATGATGAACATAATATTAGTTTGCACATGCCTCCAAAACTTTATATCATTATGCTCAACATAAGACCCCCTTCTGTAGGTCCGCCGCAGTCACCTTAGTGGCATGCATGTCCTCGCATGAGTTGGCCCATTCGAAATCTAAAAGTTACTCAAGGATTCATGGGGTCGTGGTATATAACATTTGGATCTGGAACACTTCCTAGTAAATTATCACAACAATATGGCCAAGAATTCCATCATTTCCCATTTCCAATCATTGATGGGCCAACTAATGCAGGTCCATCAATCTGTAGACCATAATCATTGCTACATCCTATAGTGTAATACTCATATCCCCCACTGCTAGATGAAATATATTGGTCTGAGGCGACCATCTCTCGACCAATGCCATCATAAGATGGTGATCAAGTTTGATGTACATCAATTGATTAACACAGTGCAATCAACTGTCCTGATAGCCGCAATGCATCATGGACATTCAATAGGTCAATCTTGCACCATAAGCATGTGTGATGCTCTCTTTAGAATAGTCCCTTGTAGATTATATTTGTGTTGGACAAAAGAAAATAAAATGCAATATTCATTAATAAAGAATAATATTTATAATTTTTGTACTTACTCAAAGTGGGCTATTCTATGTCTGCCTCAAGACAAGTGATGATAGGGTGTATGTCTGCTGGTGGATGCCCATAGGTGGCATGTTCCTCACTAGGTTGCTTTCTAACTTGCCATCTTTAAGTCATGGGTGGTTTCTCTTCCATTTCCATGCATGCTTATTTCATATTAATGGTAGAAAAAATAAGAATATTTTTCTGGAAAACATAACTATTTTAGTTAACATTTATAACAACCAACTCATAGTACAAAAAATCATAGTTATAACTTGTACGGGTAATTTTAATTACACATCACAGAAAAAAATACAGTTAATTAAAATTGCAAGTACAATAGAAATGTATACGTAATGAAGATGTAGTTGTTCATCACTTTTAACTACTTTAGGTTGTACATCACATATAACATCAACACATCACTCCTACATGCAGCAACGTCTTACATACTAATATTACAATTAATTGGTATGAGGGCAGTTGGCCATGATATGACCCGCCATTTTACATAATCAGAAAGCCGCCTGAATGATGAACTCAACTCATCCATAGTGTTCTTGTAACATCTTGTATAGGATCTCCCTATGTGTCTTCTATAGTTGGGTGGTGCTAGCGGTAAAAACCTTTGTTAGGGTCATGAAAGCCCCAAAACTGACGATTAATTATACTATGGAACTCTTCTTCATATGTGTGCTTGAAGTTTATTTTGGTGAAATACTTTAAAACATAAGGGAGATGAATTCGCCACATCGAAGCCAAATAACTAACACCATGTATGCAAGGAATTTGATAAAGTAAGAGTCGTCAACAGTTGCACATACAAGTGGACTCATCTATTATATCCATGCGATATGACCTTTCAGACATGTCATTAACCTGAAACTCTGTCAAGTTGATTATGGTAGGATTTGGAATTCTCCTAGCTTCCAGTTCGATCTTGTGTAATGACTCCTAATTCATATGCGAAGAGACTGTTGCTCTCCAAATCCACCATTTGTGAACGTTCCAACTGACATATGAAGATACTAAGTTATAAGCGATTGCAGTAATCAAGGATTGAATATGCAATCTAAGAGCTCTTTTAAGAACATCATTAAATGATTCTGAAGCATTTGTAGTCATCACTCCATACCTAAGCCCATTGTCATGTGTTAGTGTCTGATGTGTCACGTCATGGTCCACCAGTCATCGATATATTTCTTGTTTAATATCTTATAAATCAACTATTATTCGACAAGTTTTACGCTGACTGTCGACTACCTAACGCCACCCTCCATTTTTCTCATCCACGACTTGGGACCGGATAACGGCAGCGTTGATGCTATGAAAGGTGACGAAGAATAAAAAATCGTAGCATAAGCATGAGTTTTTTTATAAGAATTTGATTTGATTTCATTCATTTAACAAATATTTCTGTCAATCTAATCATTTGATTGAATGCACGCCTCTATTATGAAGATTTAACTCTTTTTACTACCACACGCAAGCTTTTGATTTTGTCTAAAAAATGTTGTTGAATATGTAACTCTTGTTGATCAAGATGTATGAAGTATGAACTTAAAAAAAAAAGTATGAACTTTGTTCTATCCCTTCAAGCATATTTGAAAGTAGATTAATTAACTCATTAAGCATTTATTTAGTACAACTTTATTAATGCTTTATAAAACATATTTTAGTATAATTTTTTTAAAAATGTAAAATTCTTAATTAAAAATTTATTTTTGAAAGTAATAAAAAAGCGGTAAAACCTCAATTAAATTGATAAATTAAATTTAATTACTCCGAATTTTTTGCATATGGTTCACACCATACTAATCCAATTATTTGATTATTACGCACCTAATAAATCAATCAAACTCTTATTAATAATTTTGCCCTCATCAAATTATTTCATATCACAATAATTAATTAACACTTCAAACCGACTTTTTAAAGCTTAAGTATCCATTACATATAGGGCAAAAAATATATAATTTTTCTAATTGCAAAATTTTAAATATATATGTCACTGTTGGGGTCCACTCAGAAAGCTTTATGATGAACGGTATTCGGACTTATTATTATTAAGGACTGAGATACGCACATGATTTCCCTCAGAAAGAAACAGCGGACTAACTGCCCTTCTCCACCGCATCCCACCCACCCCCGCAAGCCTGCCATGTGGCATTTATTCGGTGACAGCATCGCATATGACATATACCCGCAACAACAGAGCCAATCGGGGACCTGTCATCCAGTTCTAAGTCGCACGAATTTTGGCGCAAACATCCATTCTTCTTCAACGAAATTCATCGCTCCTTTAGAAGACGCCACGTGGAATTTAAGAAATTGTTCAGCCACGTGGCTGATGGTTTGTGTAGCTGTAAAAAAATACGGTGGATTGGCAACGGACTATCAATTTTCAGCAGAAAGCAAACAAAAATCTTTCCATGGACGGACCGAGCGATTCAAAACCAATGAAGAAAATTTGTCATTGCGTGTCTTACTATCTCGTCTTTCATGCATTTTATCGATTTACCGGAGCTGCGCCTTCGTGTCGTCGCTGTTATTGATTTCGCTTTCGCTCCAGGGTTTCTTTGCCGTTTGATTCCGTTAACTTGAGGTTCAGGAGTGGCTGAGACGAGGTTTTGGTCGCTAGAAATTATGAGCATTAAAGTCTAGTTCTCATTCAAGAAGGAAGAAGAAGAGAAGAGGAATCGAGGTAAAGGAAAATAGATTCCGTTTGGGATCAGTCTTCTCTTCCACTGGTTATCTCATCAAAACTTGGCCTGGTGACGAGTGCAAGAGTATTAGGGTTAGGCTCGGCGGATATATACGGTATCCGCTAAATATCGTTTTGGCAGTCTCGCTTCTCTTATATAAAGCGGGCTCTGGAAATTTTGCACCCTTAAGCTTCTCATGGATTGGCTTTTTATATCTGGTTTTGATGTGCATGGTGGTGTTTTCCTTTGTTGAAGTAATAGGAAGAGATAGATTACGCTTCCAGGTGCGTAAGTTCCGACTTCGTTTATTTCCATTTGGAGGAACTATTAGATGAGAGAATGTGTGAAATTTGGCTATGTTCTACAGCATTCTGAAATATTGGGCAGAAGATTTTGATGAAATTGTGATTTTTACTTGTTTTGCAGCTCTGGTGACAATGCAATGCATATAATTCGTACTTTTTGGGCGGATTTTAGTCTATATATATAATAGCTTGTCATTTATGCTATAAATTACTGTTTCAGTTGAACATTTTTGTTCCGCTTTTTAGGATAACAAGCTGTTATAAAGTAAAAGGAAGAGAAACTCAGAAAAGTATGTGCCAATAGAATGGGAAAAGCATTTAGCTGCTTTGGTGCACCAAAATCATCTCCAACAAAGAGCCATCCAAGTAAATCCGTCATAGGTGAGTATGCTGAAGTTTAATTGGCTTTCCCTGCGTCACAATACTATTTTTCGATGCTTAGAATTTGAGCTAAAGGTAATGAGAAAAAGAAAAGGTTTGAAAGCCTCAAATAAGTGATTCTATATTTATAATCAACACATAAATCATTGGAATTTCATTTACTTCACTTCCCTTTAATACAAAGCTTAAGTTTTAGGGCTTCTCCAACCGAATGGTGTCGTTCGATCGCTCCAGCTGAACTCTAAATTTTCGGCTATTTGCTTGTGGGTGATTATTGGCATCGCACTGTTCACGTACGTGATTTTTCTGTCTCAATCGGATTTGCCGAAGAAATGGGCGAAAGAGGAGAAAGACTATTACCTTAGCAGAAGCGCGCAAAATGGAGTTTGATTGGAGATGAATCATGGCATTTTTGAGTTTCACTGCATTTTGGCGTGAAAAATGATATTTTTGGTTGGAGATGCCCTTACTCTGATAAAGCTGATGCAGGAAGCAATTTTTTTTTTGATTTGTATAGGTTCCTGCGTTATATTAGTGTAACATTGTAGTATAAGCACTGGCCATCTATCGTTTGCATCAAGAGGTTCCATTTCCTATTCAGAAAGTGATGTTTTTTTTGGCTAGCTTGTTATTTGCATTACCTTCAACTTTTTTTTTTCCCTTGCTGGCTATTAAATTTTCTGGGTGGACGTAGTTGTAATGGATTTTAGCTTGATAATGTTAAATATTATAATCAAAATAAATAGAAATGACTAATGTGGAAGATTTGAGACTTGATAATGCTTCATTTGTCTTTTCTACCTTTTTTGTAAGATATTAGGAAGTTCAAGTGCAACCAGTTTACTTATACTATTGTGTCCTTACCAACTTTCTGTTTCATCGTTCTTTCTCTGATTTCTTGGATCCTTATCTGAAGGAAATGTAGGTGCGCTATCCCAAACACAAAACTGCATCCGCTTGTTTTCCTATAATGAGCTGAGATCCGCAGCAAGGAGTTTCCATCCAACGAATAAAATAGGGCGTGGTGGTTTTGGAATTGTGTATAAAGTAAGCCTTTCTGTGATTGTTTTCTATCGCTAATGCTAATTTATTGGTGCATCTCCAAATCATTCATCATCAATTCATCACATTTTTGTTGTCTCCATATGCAGGGGGTATTAAGGGATGGAACTCAAGTTGCAATAAAAGCACTATCTGCCGAATCAAAACAAGGAATCCATGAGTTTTTGACTGAAATTGAAATGGTATCAAATATTAGGCATCCTAATCTTGTTCGATTGATTGGTTGTTGTGTTGAAGGCACTAACCGTATGCTCGTTTATGAATACGTGGAAAATAATTGTCTAGCTAGCGCTCTACTTGGTAATACAGAAAAATTTGCTGCATAATATGAATTTGAAATTGAAATTATGTAACGAAGACTTGAAATTAAACATTTTTCAGGCCCTAGTCATAAACAAATTGCTTTAGACTGGCCAAAAAGAGCTGCTATTTGTCTGGGCACAGCTAATGGGCTTGCATTTCTTCATGAAGAGGCAGAACCCCACATTGTCCATCGTGATATCAAGGCTAGTAATATTTTACTTGACAAGGACTTACGACCAAAAATTGGAGATTTTGGTCTGGCAAAGCTTTTTCCTGACGCAGTGACTCACATCAGCACTAAGGTGGCAGGGACTATGTAAGTGCTATTATTGAAGTTTAAGAACCCGTGCTCCATTACATAACATGGATTATTCTGTTTAGTTCTTATAAAATTCTCAAGTACACGTTGATGGATGCAATACAGTGACTTCTTAGATGCTGAATGTCATGATTAAGTTATATACTCCTTTTGGGTTTAGCTACCTACGTTGGGTTGCTACCATTTCTTGTTTAAAGCTTCCATTAAATTTATCGCTTGCAACTCATGCATTTTGTGTTTCTTTATATATGTTTTCAGCATCTTCTTTTACCACTTGAATAATACATGTAATTTATTTGGATATGGTATTTAATTAAACAAACATTGACATTTCTAATGTCTTTGCACTCACAAGATATGTTGTATGAAGTTTGTAATGAAAATGTAGCTCTTGTCAATTTAGCTTGAAACTCAAGGTTCGTGAGGGTTGTTAAACCTTTGTAAATTAGCCTGAGGCTAACCAAGAGATGGGGGTGAATTAATTATTTAAAAAATTTTCTTCAGGAAAAAAAGAAAATCTTTTGAAATCTTTTTTAATATTTTAAAACAAACAATTTGTGCTGAAGCAAAACTAATTTCACAATAAAAATAATCAGAGATTTCAAACAAAGAACCAATCACAAAAAAATGCGGAAAAATAAATAAAAAGAATACATAAGAATTGTAGTTGTTCGGTCAACTTGACCTACATCCACTCCTCGGAAATCTCCTTTCCAGGTATTGCATTAAAAGTAGTGTATTTCCTTTTGCCCCCATAGTAAGGCGGAGAAGTCCTTATAAAATCTTTCCACCGACCCAGTGAGGTAGAGTACCTTCAATCCTTTTACTCCCTCATGGAGTAGGTAGAGAACCTTGGAAAAAAAGAAAATTTTTTGAACTCTTTTTTAATATTTTAAAATAAACAATTTGTGCGGAAGTAAAACTAATTTCACAATAAAAAAAATGAGAGATTTCAAACACAGAACCAATCACAGAAAAATGCGGAAAAATAAATAAAAAGAATACACAAGAATTGTAGTTGTTCGGTTAACTTGACCTACATCCACTCCCCGGAAATCTTCTTTCCAGGTATTGCATTAAAAGTAGTGTATTTCCTTTTGCCCCCAAAGTAAGGCGGAGAAGCCCTTACAAAATCTTTCCACTTACCCAGTGAGGCAGAGTACCTTCAATCTTTTTAGTCCCTCTTGGAGTAGGTAGAGAACCATGGAAAAAAAGAATTTTTTTTCAAATCTTCTTTAATATTTTAAAACAAACAATTTGTGCGGAAGCAAAACTAATTTCACAATAAAAAAATCAGAGATTTCAAACACAGCACCAATCACAGAAAAATGTGAAAATTAAATGCGGAAAAATAAATAAAAAGAATACACAAGAATTGTAGTTGTTCGGTCAACTTGACCGACATCCACTCCACAGGAATCTCCTTTCCAGGGATTGCATTAAAAATAGTGTATTTCCTTTTGCCCCCATAGTAAGGCGGAAAAGCCCTTACAAAATTTTTCCACCGACCCACTGAGGCAGAGTACCTTCAATTCTTTTACTCCCTATTGGAGTAAGTAGAGAACCTTTGGATTTTTTTTTTTGAAATCTTTTTTAATATTTTAAAACAAACAATTTGTGTGTAAGCAAAACTAATTTCACAATAAAAAAAATCAGAGATTTCAAATACATAACCAATCACAGAAAAATGCGGAAAAATAAATAAAAAGAATACACAAGAATTGTAGTTGTTCGGTCAACTTTACCTACATCCACTCCCCGGAAATCTCCTTTCCAGGTATTGCATTATTAGTAGTGTATTTCCTTTTGCCCCCATAGTAAGGCAGAGAAGCCCTTACAAAATCTTTCCACCGATCCAGTGAGTTAGAGTACCTTCAATCCTTTTACTTCCTCCTGGAGTAGGTAGAGAACCTTGGATCCGATGCTGATGGAAGTCTCCTCATAGCCACCAAGGAACTAAGGAAGAAGCCTGAAGAAGATGGTGGAAACCTTGCTTGGAGTAACTTTTACGAATCCCTCACAACTCCCCCTCACAAGGATCTCTCTCTCAAAGCTCTTTTCTCTTCCTTCTCTAAGCTCTCGCTCAGGTCAACCCAATAGTAAAAGATATACTCAAGGATAATATGAGAGCTTAAATAGAGAGCCTTCAAAAGAGGCCCTAATTTTAATTTTGCACTTTTGATCGTCCAGTACGATCCAACACCGTACTGTGCGATTAGTTCAAAACATCCCTTTCAGCCAGTACGATCAGCATTATCCTGTACGATCAGTTCAATTATTTGTACAGATCGTCCAGTACGACTATTCGATCGTCCAGGATGATTAGTTCAAGATACTGTATTGATCATCCAGTACGTTATGGGACGATGGGCGGCAATTTACATATCGTCCCACACACCCCTCGGGATAACCAGTACGATCGCATGAACGATTAGAAGAAAATTATGGTTTTCGTCATGGACGATGGGGGATTGTCCTATGAAATATCAAAGATTGTCCAGTACGATCATTGTAGATCGTCCTGTACGATCTGATCAAGCAATCTAAACATAATTAGTCCCCTAATCTCATGATCAATTTAGGCATGATTGTCATAAATCATCCAGTATGATGTATATTGTCCTGTACGATTAGAACAAAATTTGAAAATTAAAATATTGCCTAAATTGTGATTGGTGGATGGTTTTCACAATCTGAACTGATCGTCATGTACGATACAGATCGTACAGTACTTGATGTCCAATATAACAGTACAACCAGATTTATCGACACAATCAGATTCCACATCAAAATAGAAGGAGAGGATTCCTCGGGACGAAATAAGGCTCTTACGGACGTATTTTTGAATTAAATAAATTTTACAACAAAAAAAACCGCCAGAAAATGCACCGCATGAACTAATTACAGTAGAAAATTTCTCCGAAATTTCCCACGATAATTCATGATTTTCCTGTAGTGTGAGAAAGAATGGTAGATTAGTCTAAGGTCATAAACTAACTCAAGCTGTTTTTGTTAAATGTTGCTGCTACTTAAAAGATCTTCTTACCCCTCTAAGGTCATGCAATTTTGTTTTCTCTTACTCTTGAGAAAAAGGCCAAGGAAATTAAATATTTTATGCATTCAGGAAACTAAGTGACCCCTCTAAGGTCATGCAATTTTGTTTTCTCTTACTCTTGAGAAAAAGGGAAAATCCATCAACTGAAACTTTAGTTTGTACCTTTTACATATTCATATTGATATGTTCATCTTTGTTTTTTCGCTCCCTTGTTCTTTCTCACTGTTATCATTTTTGTCGTTATAATTGCTCTAATAATAATTATTGTTATTTGTAGTTTTTGGCATGTTGCTTATGGCAGATTGGAAATATAATCCTAATTGGTTTCTGAAGAGTTTGAATAATCTCATATGCAATTGGTATGATGAGTTTATATGTAGTGGTGGTGGACATGATATACAAAGAAATAAACATACAGATGAGTACGAGTACTATACTCAAATTTTGTTTAATTTCTGGGTAAGACCATTTGAATTACATTTGTGCCCTACTTTTGGAACTTAGAAGCTTTAATATTTTCAACATCTGTAACGATGTCATCTTGAAACCATTCTCATTTCTCATGTTCATACTTTGTAGTGCAACACCCTTAATCCTTCATCTGGTTTGAGTTGATATTTTAATACGTTTTATATATTGCTTTTGCAGAGGGTACGTGGCACCCGAGTACGCCATGCTTGGGCAATTAACCAAAAAAGCAGACATCTACAGCTTTGGAGTGCTGATGCTTGAAATTATTAGTGGAAGAAGCAGTGCAAGATCTGTATGGGGACTTGACATGAAGCTTCTTCTGGAATGGGTAATTCTGTTGCATACCAATTTGATGCTATTTTCCACTTGTACTAACTAAACCAGAATTCATCTTCTTCAGACAATTTTCTTTGACTTGCAATTCTCGTCATTCATTCAAATCAGAAAATTTTTTATCTTTTGCATTTGTTTCCCCCTGTGGAAATTGAATGTTCAGAATCTGTTTTTCCAGTTTCTGTATAATTCATCAAGGAGCGTTGCTTAGATTGATGATCAAATATACTACAACAACAACAACATCAAGTCTTTGTCCCACTACATGGGGTCGGCTACATGAATCATTTTTCTCCACTATGTCATGTTAAAAGTCAAATTCTCTAATAAAGAAAGATCATTTATAATATTTTTTAACCAAGTCTTTTTAAATCCACCTCTACCTTTCTTACCATAAGTCAAATCTAATACCTCAACTTTCCTAACCGGGTCATCAGAAGGCCTCCGTTTAATATGACCAAACCATCTAAGGCGACTCTCTCCAATCTTATCTTCCACTAGAGCTACTCCAACCTTTTCACGTATATACTGATGATCAAATATACTAAGAAAAAAAAAAAAAAAGAGACCAAGGATATGATGATAAAAAAATTTATCTCAATGGGTCAGAAAATTTTAAATTTTTTCCAATGCCAGACTTTTGTGTTTGCAGACATGGCAGCTGCGGAATGAAGAAAGATTGTCGGATATAGTGGATCCCAAACTTGTAGAGTACCCCGAGAATGAAGTTGTTCACTTTATTAAGGTGGCACTGCTTTGCACACAAGCAACTTCTCATCTGCGACCCAATATGAAGGAGGTGGTAGAAATGCTGCAGTCGAGTCAAATGGATCTCGATGTGGGAACTCTGAAACAGCCGGGTGTAGTCAGAGAGGGAAACCCTTCCTTTGGGATGGTCAGTAAACTGAAGAGAACTCAATTGCCCAATCGCAGCCAGTTAAATAGCACCTATGACTTCGTCTCCACAGCAGAAGACGTTGGAGGCACTGCTGCAATGAGCACGATAGAGCTGCAGCCTAGATAGTCAAGGGAGAGCTTGGTTACATTTTGACCGTTGGAGTCAAAGATCATGCAATGGAGAGCTCTTGTGTTGTATTTTAGGCTGTATGTTAGCAAAATACAAGATAGTTGTTAAAGTGGACATCGATGCATAATAATATTTGGAATGAAAATTAGAGGTTATTTATTTAATCAAAATATTAATTATTAAATTATTTAAATTTTAATTTATTTTTCATTTGTTAATATATATATATACCGTCCTGGAATATTCATGATGGTAGAGAAATATAAAGTTTAACGTCTTAGCTTTGTGCGAAGATCCAACACAAACAAATGAAAGATATGGGCATAACATTCATAAGAGACTAAGATTTATACGTAAAAAGCTCTGAAAACAAGAAACATCATGAGGTCTTGTCCGGTTTGAATGAATTCACTAATGCTTGTAGTTGATTATAAATGAGGCCTTTTTGTAGGGGGAAAGCCTTGACTCGATGTAGTCAATATACATCATATAGAGTGCATTAAATGGCGGGAGTTAAAAAAAAAAGGTGGGAGTTGGAAGAATTAGTGTTGATATGTTCGCTTAGTAGGATTATAGTCGGTGAGTGGTGTAGATCAGAAGGATCGTAGTCGAGTGACAGTGGTCAGAAGGACAATGGTCGGGCAACAGAGGTAAAAAATACAATAGTTGGCGGGCAATCGAAATCAGAAAGATTGTTGTCGGGTGACAGTGGTCCGGAAGACCGTAATCTGGATATGTTAGTTGAAGAGATCATTGTCGGTGGGTGACGGGGGATGGAGAGATCGTAGTTGGCGGGCGATGGTGGTCAGAAAGATTGTAGTCAGGTGACGAAGGTCAAAAAGATCGTAATCAGTGACGATGGTCAGAAGGAAATCCAATGATAATCGATGGTCGGACGTATGTCTGGTGACAGTTAGTGATTGGGTGAATGTTGGCAAAAGCCTGGCGATAGCCCGGGACATGACGTAAATCAGACGTCAATGAGTGGTCGGGCGAAAGTCCAGTGAAAGTGGCGACAATCGGTGTCCGAACATGAATCCGATGTCAGTTGCTGGGCGGACATAAATCCGACGTTAGTTGATGGCCGAGCTGAAGTCCGACAATAAATGGTGGTCGGGCAGAAGTCTGAAGATAGTTGATCCCCGGATGGAAATTCGGTGAAAGTCTAATGATAGTTGGCAGTCCGTCAATGATTGTTGTTCTTTCCTCTATTCTTTCTCTTCATTGATTCTTTCCTTGCTTAGTCCCCCTGTTAATGAAGAATGAGGGATCTATTTATAATTTTTTTATAGTGGCGAGATATAATTTAAGGGCTTTTTCATCTAAACAATACTATAGGGGATATTTTGGCCAAATAAAGATATAAGGGGGATGTTTGTCCAATTAGGTTCATTAGTATTTTAAAATTTTTAGGGGGGGTGCAATTGCTTAAAAATTCATATAATAAAGACTAAAATATACAGAGGGAATAACAAATTAACTAAAGAACCATATAATAATTTTTTACCCCAGCAGTCCGTCTGGAATGATTGCAACTATTTGTAAAATAAATTGCAAAACTATTGCGAAGAAAATAAGTTTTTTAAAAATTGATGAGTACATTATAAATATTTTATTTAAAAAAATCAAGAACAACTTTTGTACATCTGCCGTACTCCAAAAAACTAGTTCACATAAATTTTTAACAAAATAACATGAAAGCAATATAAAATAACAACATGACAAAAAGTTAAAAAAAGCAAAGCATTGAAAAAAAAAAAAAAAAAAACTACTCCAAACAAATACGCACTGTAATAACTTTGCTTTGTCCTTGGTTAAATAAATAGGCATTTAGAATTAATGTTAGAAGGGTATTTGAGTCCAAAAAAATAAAAAAAAAATTTGCAAAGGTGAATCATGCTTATGCATCAGGAAACCCAACAGTGGCGCTACAATTAGTTAAAGAACAAAACGCTATTTAATCTAAGATTTTATTTGGTATAAATTTTTTATTATTTTTTAAAGCAATTTTTAAGTACAAAATTTTTGAACTAAAAATTTTTATACTAAAAAGTTACTTTAAAAAATATTAGTAAATATGTCCCAAATGAAGTCTATATAAAAAAGCCTTAAATATACCCATAATATTTGATATATGTATATTTATTCAACTTTTGCTTGGTGATTTTTTTTTTTTTTTTGGAACGATGGTATTTATCTAATACCACACCTTTAGGAGACGCTTGGTGTTGTAACTAATCCCTCGGCTGACCTAGAAAAAGCACCCACCCAGAAACCTTCTGACCCGCACTTGATTGGGCCCCACTTAAAAGGCGTTGCTGCTTGAGTATATTCGAGCATGGGTTGAGAGTACCCATCCGCACTCGCCCACCAACAAAACTAAGCATCGATGGGTGCTTGGTGAATTTTCAGTTCTTCTTACTCTAATGCTCTTGGTTGAATGATGATTCCATCTTAGTGTAATATGAAAATGACTATTAATTCTCAGGTGAATAATATCCTCAAACACAGATTTCTATAGTTGCTAATCTCTTCTTAATCTCATTTCATTTATGGGATTTAAATTTGCAAACATAATTAATTTAATCTGATTAAGTTGTATTATTTTACCTTTTATGATTTCAATTTTCTCACTGAAATTTTTTGCTTTAAGAAGGTTTCAAATTATCATTTGAAGAAAATTTCACCTATATTCAAATTTACATTAAAAAATGATGAGCTTTTATTTTAATTGATGGTTATTTAAATTTGTGAATGCTTACTATGAATTGCTTGATTTTCACTAATTATATCATTTTATTACATAATAAAGTTTCGTTTGGGACGGCTTTCTTTTTGCTTCTTAAAATAGATTTTTTATACTTAAGAAACAGCAAAAAAGCTGTCCCAAACGAAACCTAATTCCTAAATTCTAACAAAATACAACATGCTTGAAATATGCACATTTCAACGATAGCAATGCTTCTCCTCCCTTCTCAGTCAAAAAACCCGTTCAAAATTTCTTTCACCAATAATCCTGACAAGAACACCTACCTTGTTTAAAATGATGGAATCTATACCTGTCCCTGATGAGGATCTCCTTCTCGTAAACTTTAGATATCAGCTTCGCAACGGAATGGCAATCCTCACAGATCCGTAGGTTCTTATTAATCCGTATAGCCATAGTTTCTTTCATACTAATTAGCCCAAAAGCCATCGCCAGCTTCTCGCTGTGCAGATTCAAAGCATGCTCTTTGGCAACATCATCTTCCACATTCTGCAGCAGCTGAGTCCTCTTTGATTCATAACCAACAGCCTTCAATCTCGCTTTTATCTCCTCCAACTTCTTATATATTCTTTCAGATAAAGGATGAGATGCATCTCCCACTAAGAACTCGTGGATCACTCCATTGACCTCCATTGAGCTACACCCAGGCTCCTTCTTCAGCCCTTGATCCCTCATTAACTTCCTCAGTCTACCAACATCTTCCCATCTACCAGCTTTTGCATATAGATTAGACAGCAGAACATAAGCTCCATCGTTTCTTGGCTCCAGCCCCAGAAGATTTTGGCAGGCGAGTTCGCCAAGCTTGACGTCTCGGTGTACAACACAGGCACCGAGTAATGCTCCCCATGCCGAAGCAGGGGCTGGCACCGGCATACTCTTTATAAGCTCCATCGCTTCTTCTAAACGCCCTGCGCGGCCAAGGATGTCAACCATGCAACCATAGTGTTCAATATCTGGTGCAATTCCATATAGAGGAAGCATTTGGCTAAAATACATTCTGCCTTCTTCCACTAGGCCGGCATGGCTACAGGCGCTAAGGATGTTGGTGAAAGTAACATGATTGGGCTTGACTTTGGCCTCTTGCATCTCTTTGAAGAAATTTAAGGCTTCCTTTCCCATGCCATGCATTGCAAGGCCTGCAATCATTGAGCTCCAAACAAAGACATCTCTTTTTTTGACAGACCTGAACACACTGAGCGCATTCTCCAGATCTCCACACTTCGAGTACATGTCTACGAGTGATGTAGTCAGATGATAATTTAAATCAAAACTATGGTTTCTCATGTAGGAGTGGATGCATTTACCCGTTTCAATTGCACCTAACTGTGAACAAGCTGATAATGCAGCAACAAGTGTGAGATGGTTAGGCTCGACATTAGCATCCTGCAGTTCATTGAAAGCATCCAGAGCTTCTTTGGGTCTACCATTCTGTTCATAGCCAGAGATTAACGCATTCCAAACAGCTATATCGCGATATGGCATTTCATCAAACACACGGCGGGCAGCATCGAATTCATGAGATTTCGCATATGCAACCAGCATGGTGGTCCAGGATATTGAATCCTTCTCCTTCATGCTGTCAAAAAGAAAGCTTGCGTCAGCAGAGTTCCCGCACTTTGTGTACATGTCAAGGATGGCATTGTTCAGTATCAAGCACTGTGTAATCTCATTCTCCTTGATATAAGAATGAATCCACCTACCGAGTTCCAAGTCTCCCTTTCTTCCACAAGCTGAAAGAACACTAACCATGGTCACATCATTGGGCATGAAGCCGCTCTGCTCCATCACTTGAAAGAGATTCAAGGCGTCATTGTAGTGGTCAGTTCGCGCCAGCGCCGTGATCATTGAGTTCCACGAAACAACGTCCTTCTGAGGAATATGATCAAACACAAGGCGTGAAAGGTTCAAACACCCACAAGCGGCATAGAAGTGGACGAGAGAATTGAGTATGAAGACGTCAGAACGGAAGGGAGATTTGATGACCAAGCCATGGAGTGTGGAACCCTCTCGCAGCATCTGGAGTTCTGCAGCAGCTTTGATTACGAAGGGGAAGGTGAAGCGATCTGGGGAGTGAGGGCTGTCGCTGAGCATGCGTGAGAAGAGTTGGAGGCTGAGGTCAGGGCGGGAGCTAGAAGAGTAGGCGCGGATGAGGATGTTCCAGGAGTAGAGATTTGGCTGAGGAATTTGGTCGAACACCAGGTGGGCGTATTGGAGATTGCGTGATGGGGAGATGGAGCAGGAAGTTAGGAGGCGGCTGGCGGCGTACGGGTGGTCGAAGAGGCCGATGCGAAGCATCCGGGCATGGATTTTCTTGATCTCTGCGGAGCTGAGGGTAGTATGTTCGTCGAGGAATGAAAGGATTGGGTGGTCGGCCGGCAGCCGTCGGCGTCCATTTTCGGAGCTAGGGGTTACTGCGCGACAGATGACCGGCATTGTTATGGTGGCCATAGCCTACTTGTTCGTCTGTAACAAGTGAATGGTTAATTTATTGCATATTGGAATTTATGGGGGCATAAAGTTGAACAGTTCAATATGTCATCATGAACTACCATCACATTATAAAAATTTTACACAAACCAGTAGTCAATTTCCTTGTAGCGGTGGCACCTCTTAAGCGGGGCTCAATCAAGTGCCTGCAAGAAGATTTCTGAGATGAGTGTCTTTTCTAGGTCAGCCGAAAATTAGTTACGTCGTCAAGTGTCCTTTCAGAGATGGCAACCGGTGGATTCCCCATTCCAAAAAAAAATATTTCTAGAACCACAATCTTGTTGGGATAAAATTATGTATTGATCCACCCTTCAATCAAAATTTAGATAAGTGATCCTCCCCCAAAGATATCTTGCAAATGTAATGTCTTTAATGTATGCTGACCTATCAAAGCATTGAAGCTCATTTCATATGCATAGGCCTCATCAATCTTTGCCAAGGTTTGATCACCATCTTGATATTGCTCATCATTCCTCATGTCTTACAAATATGACCTTGATGAACTTTTTAATCACAAGGAAAGCAAAGGTCTTTTATTCTTTGCTCATCTACTTGTGCGACCTTAAACACTTTATGTATAATATAGGCCTTCGCACTTAATTTTCTCAACAAAAAAAAAATCAAACAATCCTACAATTTTGATTATATTTAGGAGGTACGAGCGAGCACACGTCTCCTCTTAAAAAATCTTAAATAATCTTTATATATTATATTTTTTATTTGCATAATTATAAATTTTATAATAAAATATTTAATTCGTAATCCATCAAAATTTTAAGATTGAGTATTATAAATATCTATTGAAAAATATTAGTGATATTATTTAAATAATTTATGCTTCCATGGAAAAAAGGTTCTGCCTACGATTAATTGAGTAATGTACATATCTCAATTTTCTTTTTTTTTTTTTTTTTATCCATATCTCAATTTTCGACTCTAGAATAGGGCTGTCAATTCGTGTCGGCGGGTCGTGTTAGGGTCAGACCCGAATTTGACATGCCTGTATCTGACCCGACTCGGACACGACCTGAAACAAGTTTCAGGTCAATTATCTAGACCCAAACCCGGCCCGAATCGGGTTCGGGTCAACATGACCCGACACAAATTTTTGAAAATAGCGGGTTCTGGTCACGAAGTAGCGGCAACACTGCGGCAGGTGGCGGCACGGGACATCGGGGCAGCAGCACTGCACAGCGGCAGGCGGCACTGCGGCGAGGCAGCGGTGGTACAGCAGCAACGCCAGTCGGTCGACTCAGTCCCGAATGCGCGGCGGCGCAGCAGCAACGACAGGCGACAGCAACAACAGTAGCAGCACACGAACGTCGAGACTCATGATTCGCGAAGCGACGCAGCGCCAGTCGCCAGAGCCGAGACAGCGATTTTGATTGCGACTCGACGTCGAGTCATTTCGCAGGCAGGGAGGGCATGCCGGGCAACAGAAACGGGCAAACTCATTTCCGGGTCAACCCGAACCTGACCCGTAACGCAAATCGTGTCAATTTTTCGAATCCGAACCCGATGCTAACCAGGTCGACCCGAACCCTAATTTTTTCGGATCAGTTTTAGGTCGTGTCAAAATTTGACAGCCCTACTCTAGAATGGCTTTCCATGACGTTCTATTGAGAGAAACCCATTAAAAAAAATTACAGTTGCAGACTCATAGTTGTCAAATACTCGGACAAAAAAAGAACACTCAATAGCAGAAAAAACAACAAGGGGAGACCTAAACCCTAAAGCAAAGAAAAGAACAGATTAAACACATGTAATGCTCAAACCAGAGATCAATTGAAAGTCTTAAAGACCCTACTTCAGACAATGGAAGTAATTTACAGCTTCGTTTGGGCCGGCTTTCTTATTACTTCTTGAAGTAATTTTTTAATACAAAGATTATTTTTTTGTACTAAAAAGTTTCAAGAATCAATAAGAAAGTCATCCCAAATGAAGCTCAAGTCAAACTCACATAGATAAGGTGGGAAGTATTAAGGGGCTGTTTGGCAACCGGATTTATGTAGGATTTGAGCAAACAAGATTTACTCGGCCATTCGAACTTACAGCGAAATAAATTCATCGTCCGGTCCTTTTTGCAGTAAATCCTGTATTTACTAAGGAGCTATTTGGCAACATGTAGGATTTAACATGTAGCATCACAAAGAAAAATTTGACGGACATGCAGACTGTAGGAGTTTTAGTTATTTAATAATTAGTTGTGTTGAATTATGTACCTTTATGATTGACTAGATGAAATGAGTTTTATATCTCAGGTTTCTTTTAAGCCATTTGGCTTTAAAAAATTACCTGAAATACAGCTTTATTCTCTATACATTTTTTTTAGAAATAACTAAACTCAGAAAAGCTGAACTAATTTGGTCTTAGCTACATTTAGTATAACCCCTAGGTTCAAGGGAATACAAGAAGATAGGTATATATGCACATAAGCATCAAATCAGAGTGTCATAACAATCATTAATCAAATGGCAAGAACATTTGATGCATAACAGGAAAGTTAGCATCAAAATTCCTAATATTCTAGCTTGACTCAAACAGTTAGAAATAGGTAGAATGAAAATTGGCATGCCAACTTGACCATTTAGATGTTAGACCGGTCCAGTGGACCGGTCCAGCCGGTCCAGGCGGGACCGGCTCATACACGAACAGGGCGGAAAACTTCCGCCCGCTGGGCCGCTGGGATGCCGAGCGAACCACATGGTGTGCGGGAGCCAAATAGGAAAGAAATTTTGGGGAGTTAAGAGGGAAATTTGAATGTAGGGACTGTTTAGGGAATTCCTTTTGATTTGTATGCATGAAATAGTTGATTTTCCTAGGGTTTGAGTATCTTGAATTTGGCTGAAATTTGAGATCTCTTAGATTTAGGTTTTCTTTGGGCTCTAGCGGCGTCTAGAGATTTGGGAGAGTTCAATCCTCCTCTCGAATTGAGGATCAATTGTATCTTTTCTATTCTGTTGCATCTATTAGTAAAATACAAGTCTTTTCTCCACGGTTTTCTCTCCGATTTGCTATTTTTCCACTGTTTTGTGGCTGATTTCTGCTGTGGACAGCACTAAAACTGCAGCAGTTTACTGATTTTGGCTAGGACCACTTGTGAATACAAGTGTTTCCTATCATTAGACTACCCAGTCATCCTAAGAAATGGTCCACGCAAGGTTTATCACTGATTTCGGAGCCATTTTCACATGGGTCAACTTATATGCTATGTTGCACCAATACGGATACGGCGACACGGATGCAATAAGATACGGATACTGGACACGTCGATTCTTAAAAATATAGGATACGGGTACGGCGCGGACACGACATTATAATTTATAAATCATACATAAAAATTAAGAAAACAATCAAAGCATAATATTTGAAATTACAAAAAAAAAAAAAAATAAACAACAACAACATCATTTGTAGCCTTGTAGCTTATAATATCAAAATATAAGAAAGCATTAAATGTCTAGTACAACAACAAAAGCATAAACATAAATAATCTAGCACATGAAGTTTCAACTATTCAATAGAAGGAATGATATGATTAGCTTCTTCA